AATTCAGAAAATCAAATGATGTATTTCGCTTTCTTAGCAATTTAATCATTAAATGTAATTTTTCGCTTTCCAGATGGTAAGATAAATAAATTAAAAAAAAAAAACTAGAACCTTCTGAATTTTTGGCGTTTTCTCCTAGAATTTGACATAAATTTTCTACGAAATGTCATTAATTCATAGAATATCATACAAATTTCAAAAACCAATTCTGGGTGCTTCTAGATTTAAAAAATTAGACATTTATTCGCAGCAAAGAAACAATAGGACATTATATTCCTCCATTTCCACAACTAAAATACATCTACCTATAGCAAACATTAAAATTCTTGGGGGGGGGGAGAAGAGCGATTTTAAAAAAAAAAAGCTTTTTTTTATTTAAATTTTCAATACCTGAAAATCAAAAGTTTTTTTTTTTTTTTTTTTTTTTTTTTTTTTTTGTTTTGGGTGTGTGTGTGTGTGTGTGTGTGTGTGTATTTTGAAACTCCTTTTAACACACACTGTATCGATATTTATAATCACTAAACAGTAAAAATAAAACTACTCAAAATTGTGCTCCCTCCACTGGAAGAAGAATCGTGGAATGGTTTTAGTCAACAGATAATTCTAAAAACGCGATGCCTGTTTGTTACGAATAACTAATTTGCAAAGCGTTGCAACTTTTAAACGTCTGCTTCCCGATTTCATGTAAATTATCAACGATGTGAGAAGTTGAAAGTAAAGCATGCATATGATCGAATCAAACTTAATCATTTAACAAAACGGATTATCCTTGCCACCTGTTTGGCTAAAACGGAAATTTTGACCCCCAGACCGCCAAGCTCGTGAGAATAAGAATATGAAAAGTTTATTTAATTAATTATGGCAAAGCATTCGACGGCTATCTGCCTAAGGCTAGGGATGCCTTCGTGGAGGACTTTCTAAGAGAAATTGGCTCTTATATACTTTACGCATGGAGAAAAATACATGCTGTCCGTTCGCTGAGATATAGGCCCCAGATAGAACTATCGGTGTTCAGCAACTTTGCCGCTGTTTGGCCGAATAATATGGTATCGTTTTCGATGTTTATGTGCCGTCGGTTTATATTTGTAAATAAAAATGTGTTTTAACTTTTTATAATCATAATTTTACTTACTTTATAGCGTTCTCAAATTGAGTATTGTTATAAATGAAAACAACTAATGAATTATCATAATAAACCATGACAAATCGTGAATAAACCTTGTGACTAGGAAAACATATTTTCTACTAAATATCTGTACAACTAAATTAAATGAGTGCAAAGGAAAAAAGGCAAAACGCTAAAAAAATTTGATTAGTGCATTAAAATACCGCAAAATAACAAATTTACCCAAATCTAATAAATCCGAATGATGAAAAAAGGTGCAACCAGTTCTTTATTCAGAAAAAGAAGTTAATATACCCCTACTGCCATATTTTGAACAAAATAAAATTAAAAAGTGTTAGTAATGTGACTAAACCACTGCCCATTAGGGAGGAAGGGATAGGAAACGCATACAAAGCAGTTAGAAATAATGCTGGAGGAAATAGCGAGGTACACAAATTCTCCTACCTTTGCGCTGTTTATGCTAATCGCAATCACGACATGTAGCCAGAAGTTAAGGTAATTATGGTAATACCCCCAAATATAAAACACCTTTTTTCCCTTCTAAAATTTTTACATATTTAAGCTTGATATCTAGAAAATTCAAATATGTGAAAGCCTTCTCTCCTCTTTTTCGTGAAACATCTTCAAAACGTAAGATCACGTTATTATATTAAAGCCATACAATCAGAAAGCCAATAATAACATTCAGGAATTTTTTAAACATTCCATGTTTCTCCTATCCATCTCCAGTTTGTAGCGTCACCCAAAACATGAATACCATCATTCGAAAACCACAGATGTTTACGGACTGTAGACGCACTTCTTGTTATCTGTTCTGTGAAGGTCAGATTTGGCAGAGCATGTCTCACTGGGCACTTGCCCGGGGGCACCACGAGCAGGTACAGAAGTGGATGGAACATTAGAAATTCACCATTGGTTGTACAGTTATAGTTTCAGCTGAATTAACTGCGTACTTCCACTCTAGTTTTGAGGCAGAACACCTTGAAGATTAGTTTGGAAAGTTACCCACTCCTCTTTCCCTACCATTAAACCTCTCGAGAGGGCTTTGTGTTTAATTATTAACTCACTGAATTTTTAGCATTCCTCTCCTTAAATCGTTTTCAAACAATTTAAATGAGTATATCTGAGAAAACTAAAGATTTTCTATAGTAAGCAAATACAAGAAAGAACGCTGGAAAAATTCTTTACGTTGCTGCACTTTGGAAAATAGAGAAAATGGGTTCCTTAAGTAAGGAAAAATCGAAATTGCCAATACAGGCTACTTATTTCGAAAAATTAGATTGGGGGCGGAGATACGCATATAACTAAATCTATAACTAAAACTTTTTGGTGATTAGTTTTAATAATTACTTGAGCAGAATATATCATTTTTCCTTACTTTTCAGAATTGTTCTTTCGATCGGCAATAAATAATCACATTCCCCCCCCTAATAATTGCTTAAGATCGCAAATGCATCAATGATTCGATTAGCATACAATTATCAAGCATTTAGTTGCATTTAATTTAGAAATTACTCAAAAATTTATTTTCCAATCTAATTACAATTAATTATTGACTTTTTTTTTTTTTTTTTTTTTTTCTTTTTTTCAAAAAGCTTTTCTTTCCGCTTTCTAGGAAACTTTATCAGTAACTTTTTCAAAATGTTAAAAATTTCAAAACGGCAAAACTTTGCAATAGAAACTAGTGTTTTTAATCAGCATAATTCGTCACCATTGATTTGGAACAAGACCGCAGAGTGAAACCATTTGACCGATGGAAATTAGTTATGTAAGAAACAGCTGATAGCAACGATTGTAAAGCTTGATGGTTTTACGTTATAAAAAGGAGAAATAAATCGCACTGAGAAACAATCGCATTATTACGGTTAGTTTTGATATTAATTACTTAGTTAAAAGGTTTTTTAATTAATCATAAAAATCCATTTAAGTTTTACAGTAACGCTATAAACCACTAAAATTATTAAATTACATTACACAAAAGTTAAGCGGTATTTAAATTTATCATTCCTTATTAACATTTGCTTAAATATATTACAAACTCTGAAATAAAACAATATACAGAAACAATATTTTTAAAAAATTTACTTTATTGACCAGTCAACTTATTTCGTTCTTATACAGATACTTCTCTGCACTTTAATTAAACGATATATAACTCTTATTTCATACTTCAATAAATAAAAATATTCATGCAAATTTGTTATTAGAAAGATTTAATAGATATAATTCACAAATGCAAATTGGAAGAATTTAAAAGAAACTCCTCTCCCCGCCCAAGTAACTGACTGATTATCATTATGTTCCAAAGAACAAAAAGGGAACTAAGTTTAAGAAAAAACATTTTTAATTACATTGATATTTTTACCATCACATAAACAACAATCTTATCTGTTTACGAAAAATATGCAAATTAAATGGAAAATTACGCTTGTCAAATGCAACTTATTTATCAATCTTCAGCTACGATTCATAATATTTACAGTTCATAAAACTATGAATTTAATAACAAAACCCAGAGAATGGGGCATTGATTACTTTCACACACTACACAGCTTTTAGTTTTGATTTTTAGCCAGCGATTTTCCGAACAATACCCATTAAAATGGAGAAGTTCATTATAAATAGGAGGGGATACAGGAAAGTTGCTTCTCCTTCAAAACTGATTATTTTTCGCGCATTAGGATGCTTTTTAAGGCCTAGGAAATAAAATACCGGTATGTCACTTATCTTTATACTACATTTAATACACAGTATGAGATTTTTTACTAAAATTATGGTTATTTATCGCTGTTACTAAATATACGTTCGGCATAAAATATTACTGTGCCCATTTCACCTCCCACAGACTCATATTTTGTCTATGCTTTAAAAACACTAAAAAAAAAAGCCACTAAATATTCCATGAGCCAAATTTATGTACATGAGAGAGAAAGGCTTCAAATGTAAAATTATTATAAGAAATTATAAAAGTCAGAACATTTACCACTAAAATCATATATACAGGATTAAAACACTTGGTTAAAACTCATTTCGAGCTAGTAAAAGAAAACCCTTTTAAGTATTTATAAAAAAACCAAACTACATAATGCTTAGATTAAGTGGATTAGTGTTTAAGCTGATTTTAAAATTGCCTAATGACAGATTTTCGGTAATTATTCTTTTTAAAGTTAACACGAGTTTAGAAGCAACCATAATAATGACAGTTTTCTAATGAATTAATAGATTCCTAGGAATATAACCTGGAATATGTATCCTACTTTAATATGAATTTATTGCCTACTAGAATTAGAAATTAAATATTCAGCAATATGTTTATATCAGAACTTTTTTATGCTTAAAAAAGAAAAATATTAGTAAGTATTACATTGTTTTGTGGATATTTTAAGCTTTTCCGACCTATTTACTTCTCACTACTCTTAAGAAACACAAAGAACAGATGTTTAAAAAAAAAAAAAAAATAACCACTTTCAAGATAACTAGTGACATTTTTAGAGACAGCTAAGAATTAAGGGCTAAACAACTGAATTACAACTAACCACTATAATGCTTTCAATTTTATTACAGTTCTATGCCATAAAAATGAGTATCGAAAAGTTAAAAAAAATTATAAATTTTTAAACACAGGTAGGTCGATATAAAAGAATAATTCATTGCCTTATGAGCAATTTCTAAGCACCGAATTGAGTATACGGAGAAAACAGTTATTCTAGGTTAATCAAAAAAGCAGATTTTCAACTGTTTTATTCACATAATTGTTCGGCTTGTATTTTAACGGAGGAAAATGTCAAATTCTACCGGCAGTCCAACCAGCAATAAGCCGGCGAAGCGAACGCAAACCGTCGGACTAGTCAAATAATTTAGATATAGTATTTACCTATGAATCCGCGATCGTATCCACTTGTAGTGGCCATTGTGAATATTCCACAAGCACCTAAAGCAACATAGTTTTATCCTTTGCGTATAAAACTCATATTTTTCCGTCACCACACCCTCACACTTTCGCACTAACTCTCCATAACAATAACTTCCTCGCTTGTCCTTTTCACAGCGATGGCCGCTGTGCATAGGGTTGCTATTTGCATCCTTTTCGCCAACGGCATAAAAGTGAAGACAGCTGTTAGCGTTTGTGGGCCGGTTTCGCCAATGAAGGTTAATGCAAACGAATTGCACATCTCACGTTTACTCATAAAATGCAATTAAAAAAGCCCTAAAGTTCGAGACCAATTTGAAAATTCGCAAAATCGATAGTCAGCTTTGTTTTGAATCAGCTAAAAATTAATTTAATTCTTTTAATCTTTAAAATTTGCTATATCTCTTTATATATAAGCTAAAAAACTAAACTGTAACAAGAAATCTCACTTTTCAAACCCCAGCTATACCTTGAAAGTGATCACGACTTTTACTATTAAAAATATGAAAAGTGCGTAAAAATATAGATTTTTTTGGCAGGAAGATTATATTTAGACATATGTTGATTAAAAAGAAAAAAAAGAAAGAAAGAGGAAACTAAAGTTACTTAAAAAAAAGAATGTTTTTTTACATCATAAGACAAGTTTAGTTGCATATACGATATATTACGTAAACCAAACAGGAATCGCAAAAATTCCAAGTACTTAGAATCAGATTTTAGCGAAATAATATAAATCAGTACGAAACCATAAAACTAAATTTTGCTTTGTTTTTTATTATGTTTTATAATATGTAATTTATATTGTATAAAAATAAATTTTACTTTGTTACACTTTGCTTTGTACTTACAACTTTTTATGAAAATCGAAGAAAGATTTTAATTACATTTATTAGTGCAGAATTTTATTACCATTCAACATTCATTTATTGATGTGGATGATAATGTACAGGTGGGAAAATTAGAGAGACATCCTGTATCTGTGAATAATGTATGGGCTTAGAAATATTTGTTATGTTAATGTAATTAATTATGTTAATGCTTAACACAACAGTCTATTTATAAAAAATCTATGGATAATTACAGGAAAATCTTGGCACACGTGTAGCAAACATGTTATTAGTAATTTGTTTGTAATATTTTCATTCTCAAATATAAAGCATATTCGAAATGAACGCACGTTGGAAGATTGCTTTCATGAAAAGTACTTTACTTCTGCAGTTTACGGTACTTCTATACTGCTGATTAATGAATATGTTGTTGTTGTGACTTATCTCACTTGTCTGACAATAACATCAGAACAAGCCCACGAAATTCATCTTGACAAAAACTGCAAGATTACGCATGTCTTCAGCACCATACAGGTGACAGAACGACTTTGCTCAGTTTCGCCCCCAAGGAAGACGAGTCTGAGGGTCTCCTCCTCTTCTCCTACCCCCAACCTCTCGAGAGGACTTTCGGCTCGCCGCATATTTAAAGTGCCCCCCATGTCGCAAGGACACTATATATTTATAAACATCCATGCCTTCCCCGAGATTCGAATCCGGGTTCTCCGGTACGGCAGACAGAGTCACTAACCACTATCCCAATTGGTTAATGAATATAAACGTCATTAGAAGGTTTCATTCGTTTTTGTTATATAACACACCTAAAACAAAGCAGTGTATGTTTCGATATTAGACTGCTTACTCTTACAGTTACTAGATCAACTTCCAGATAATAGCTATATTGTTTTTAAGTATTTAAAAAAAAATTTTTTTAATAAACTGATAGTTTTCAGACTTTAACGGCTGCCCAAACGTATTTGTTAAGGCTTTTTACGCTGTGTAGGTGCGTGTGTGTTTTGTCTTTTGTCTTTTTGGCTTTATTATTTAGTGTCATTTTCTCTCTATATGCGCTGCATACAGTTCAACAACAAAATTTTTAAAAGCTGTGTAGCATCAAGAATTAGAATTCCAGATGCCGTATTAAGTGTTGGGATACATTTTTATATTTTTTCCTTTTTTTTCTTCCTCAATTCATAGTCTCAGTATTCAGTTTTCTTAGTAAGATGTCTGACAAAAGTTATTAAATTTTCATTTGCTGACTTGATTTATTAAATACTCATGTTCTTCGCTCTCACCCACATAAAATTCAGTTCAAGAGCAAACTCATAAAATATTTGAAAACAGCATATCTTAAGAATTCCCAATAGAGTACTAAAGGCTGGTATACATATTTTTAAATTCGTTGATTATTTCTTTAAAAACTAGCCTCTCGCAAGACTAAATAAATAATAAAATAGTTATCATAAAAAAGAAAAAGTGTATGATATGATCATATTTTAATAGTCCAGCTAGCATAATTTCATAAAAATGTTGAATATTTTTAATTAGACGTCTCATTTTAATACATATTTATTTAAATCAATCTCATTAAAAAGTAGAAAAAAATCTTGAGAACTGTGTTCATAGCTTTTAAATCACTTAGTTTATTATTCAGTAACCTTCTCGAACGGCAGCAGTCTCGTGTGAGATACAGATGTTTTTATTTTAAACAGTATTGCCACTGTTCGCTTTCAAATCTTATTAGACATACTAACTAAACTTAATAGTTTTTTAATCAAAAATTCAGAAAATTCAGAAAATTTTTACAAAATAGGAAATAAGTGATGAAACAAATTCGATATTCAAAATTCGGGCTTCCACGTGCACATGTTCGGACGGAGGAATACGTTATTCAAAATTTGATGGCTCTAAGTACCATCGTTTTTCCACAATGCAAGGAGCATGCATACATACACGCATATTCTTCATTATTTAATTTCTTTAAAAATAATACAGGACGATAGTATTTGATCTATCGTCCTGTATTATTTTTAATACATTATTTTTTCGGCAACAATCTGAAAGCTGGTGACACACCTCTCATAGTGAACAAACGCAAAAGCCCCTTTTGGGCTAAATATTTAGTACGAAACATTCAAAAGTATAATTTAATTTAAATATTTAACTCAAAAACGAGTAGCCTCAGAAGGTTAAAATTTTGTATGTAGGAGTGCTATAACATGTAGTTGTGCATCTCCCTTTTTGGTTGCAATCGGCCTCAACAAAAGTGTATAAATATATATGAATATATAATGTAAGAAAGGCATACTAACTAAACTTAAAAGGATCTGTGAGGTCAATAATTTTGCGCATTGAGCTGCAAAATTTCTGTTATTCGGCTCAGTGAGCTCAATTTTTTTAAAATTCTTATATGTTGGTAAATTATTTATTTTTTGCACTAAAAATGATTGAATTATGTTGTTTTTATCTTCCGGTTAAGGATTTTACACCTTTAGTTAATCTGCATGCAATAGTAGTAGAATTCAACAATTTAAAAGTTCTGTAAAGGATGCTAAACCTAATTTTTTTAACCATAGCAACCATATTTGTTTACATTTGAAACTTAGCAGAATAGTGAAATAAGTCTTTTTGCACCTTCAATGTCTTTTTGCCGAGTGGGACCAAAAGGAAACTTTTAGTTTTGTTCACCAAAAAATCGGCTTTCTTGAATGCTGGCGGAATTTCTTGTTATTGCGTAGAAACTGTAATTTTTATTGTAAAAATTGTTTTTTAATTGTTTTAACTGTATTTGGTGCTTTATTTTTTTCTATATCATTAAATGTTTAATGAAGATATTTTGAGTTTTATGTATTTTTGTCTTGTCATGAAGTGAATTAAGTGAATGAGAAATATATCTCTAATAAAATTCGAGTAAATAAATTTAAATGAAATGCAGGAAAAAATGCGTATAATTTAATATTCCGTACATGGAAGTCATTTGGCGTACACATCAGTTTTTTGTTATACATGAGAGTGTGAAAAAAAAAGTGTAAGTTAAGATTTACTTTTGAAATGAGTTTTTATTCTTTTCTAAATTTTCATAAAAATTTATTAAATACGTATCAAATCTTTAAATTAGGCGGCTAAATTTTTTACTGGAGGCAAAATTTGTTACTTATTTTATTATTATTATAAATTCCACAATATTCGTCATTCCAAGTCTATAGAATTTATTTTCATCATTTTCAGGAAATGTGGAGCTGATGTAGGATTTATCAAATTAGAATGAAATGTATGTAATCTGAAGAAACTTTAAACTCTGTAAGGATAAAGACTCTAACAATTACATTGGCGTGTTATTATTATTATTATTATTATTATGTAATTAAAGTAGGAAATGGTCGATGAAAATTTGAGAAATTCGTGACAGGATCGACTGCCACAAATGACTGATAGGGACCTTGGATTCAGTCTCTCCATTTAAAAAAACCTAAATATATAATCTTGGTTGGAATGAAATACAATACATGAAGAAAATAAATTCTCCTTACTTGCATTATAATTAACAATGGCAGGTAAAAAACCAGGCAGATAAAAACGTTCAAATATCTCGATAAGCTGTGTTCTCAATAATTCACGGTACTTGGGGTTCTATTACCTAAGGATTAGCTAATGCAAACATTTAGTTATAAGGATTATATCCACATCTGATAAAACGCGTAAGTTATTCATACCCGAATTGCGTTTTGTTTTCTAAACAATTTTCCCCATTCCAGTCACCAAGCGCGATGAAGGAGTGCATATGGCAACCTAGACTTATTGTGATCTATCAGCTGAAGGTTTCGCATGCAGCGCCACCTATGAGCCGGAAATTGCACTTGGTCAATGAATGAGTCACTTATGCGGTGTTCGAAAAATGTGTATTGCTATTAAGTTAAATATTGTGGTTTGAAGTTTAATTTGTTTACAAGATTGAGTAATCGAATTTAAGGTCATTTGAATTATTTTGTACAGGATTTTAAAGTTAAAAATCAGCCAAACGCTCAGTTTCTTCGTGTTAGAAAAATACCATTATATACAGGCGTTTCGAGATATATCCCGAACTCATAGAAAACTTGCTCATTAAATTAGTTTGTGTATTTAAATTTAATCAACTGCGTTGGTACATTAAATATGACAGTTAAAAATTTCTTTGGAACGTAGGCACGTAAAATTCCCTGTTGCAATAAAAGGCAAAGAAAAAGACTTCCAAAAAGAAATTCTCTTCATATAAAAAAATGCTGAGTAAGAGAGGAAGCGATTTTGGA